ACAATGTTTTTAGGAGCGTTTCAAGGCCCATATCACCAGAAGCACATTGTTACACTAACACCTGCACGTTCTCAATGACTGCTTCAATATTATGCAATTCATTGGCCAACAGTTACTGCGTAAGTAAATTAGTTATCATATTTTACATACTTCAAGAGCTTTGCATTTCAAAACAGTACTTATCTTTACTAAAGTTTCTTAATATGCCTGTATGCTCGTTTCCAATGAACAACACTAGGAATTATCCTTAGGCAATGCGATACAATGAATCATCCGATATAAACATGTTTATGTAATGTTAAACATAAAAATAATCAGTTTGCCAAAGACCACTGTATTCGACAACAACAACAAAAAGTGTATTCACTAAAGATAAAAGAGACTGCAAAAAATTCCTACAAATTCTGGCTGTATTTTCACAGTGTCAAACTAGTGACAAGTTTCTCTCACTGGAAAACCGAGGCTGAGCTTCTTTTTACAGAAATCGGTAAAAACACAAGAATATACAATACAGAATGCTTATTCTAATATGGGAGAACTTAAAAAAATACCCTCCTGTTTAAATGCTTACTGTCTTAACACAGAAACAAAGAAACAACAAAAGTTAAGTTACCATAAGGCACCAGTTACAGAAATGTCTTAGCTTTGTTTTCAGCATTAACATTTGTAGTCAGTAAGTATCCAGGACAACTGACAATCAAATGCAGCAGCAAACACATTATTCCCTTGCATATATTTAAGAAGAGAAAAAGTCATTTTAACCACATGTGCTGCAAATCCTTGGCCAGTATTAAAATCGGCTATTTGATACAGCGCAACACTTCCTTCTTTGAGTGGTGTGTTTACAATTCACTTCTGGTTTTTTTTAATGTTAAATTCAAAGTGAAGAAATAATCCATATGTGCCAAACTAACTAAAAGCTAGCATTTTTCATCTTAAAACCTCCATAATCTAGAACTGCCTTCCCTTTAAAGTCATCTTTATCTTGGGAGTGTGCATAAATGCTTTAAATATACTAGTGCAAGGCCAGTTGTTATTGAGGAGAGAGTAACAGAGCTTTTACTGATCATTAGGAACTAAGTGACTGTGGATAGAACTAACTTCAGTATTTGTTTCACTCTGCTGTCATAGATTACGAATTAGAAATAATAGCAGTAATCACATTTCAGAAATGAGGATGTAGCTACAAAGCCTCCTCACTCCTACAGCACCAGTGTTATAATCCTAGGTTAAATAAACTGCTTACTTCTAACACAGTAAGTAGAACGAAAAAAAAAAGAAGAAAAAATTAAATTTTGAATGCTGCTGCTTTCTTAAGATTTGTGAAAGTCAGAGATGAACAAAACACATTCTGCAGGAAGGTTTGCTTTTAGTTTTATGTTTTTAATGTTTTTATGTTTTTAATGTTTTTAACATTTAAATGTCCTCTTTTTTTTTTCATTTTATATTATTTATCATGCCATGTTAGAAAACTTGAATGCTATGACTGTTGGTAGATATCTGCTGCTTGTTTACAAAGCACCACTACATTCTAATGTGTATCAATGAAGGGAAATAACAGAAAAGTAATCCTAAGTAAAGCACAGCACTAGAAGAAAATTATGACAACTAACAACCACTAAGGACAAAATAGCTTTTACTAAAAAGCATCTGGGATGTCTGGATTCACATGGGCAAGGAAAAAAACCTGTGCGTTTCCAAAACCTCCAAATATTACTGTTCTTTTCTGAATATCAGACAAGAAGGGACAAGAAACTGAGTAAACTGCAAGATGCTGAGAAGAGATCTCAACTTTTGGCCTTCCATTGGACTGCCAGTTTTGGCAAATAGTTGTGCTAGCTACAGGCAACTTAGAAAATCTTTGTCCTCTGGGAACAAACAGTCCAGAAACAAAAAAACACGCTTTCCATGTCAGAGATCATTTGAAGTTTGTCATTTTGACAGAGCTTCCTTCCCTTTCAGAATGGGTTAGCAGCATCAGCAAAATGCTTTCAAGAGGGCAGAAAGAGCAAATGAACATACAAATTAGAACATTTTAAATAGTGTTTAGCCTTCAATAGTTTGTCTTCAGTATTCTGAAAGACAATATATGGAAGGAGTATATAATGCCTAAGAAATTCCTCCTGCTCTCTTCATATCCATGGAACAACGTGAAAAGTACATCAGTCTCAAATTTTTAAGATGGCTAGTAGATAGAAAGTGATAACTTAGAAAAGAAAACTTTAAAAGTACATATCAAAGTGTCTAATACTATAATTTTGTACCATTTCATTTTCTCTGTATAAGTAAAGATCTAGAATAGAATTTCTACGAAAGCTGTAATTCGCTCTGGTTTATATGCTTGTAAAAATACCCAAAAAAGCCTGTCACTTTTCCAGCACTAGTAGTAGGTAATGCTGCACTGCCAGTTTCTGCAAGTAATATCCACTCTTGTAGTGTTTCAGAACCCCATTGTAAAATTTCAAATTGCTAAGATACTGGACTTGGAAAATATGCCTTAATAATTTCTCTTTATAAAGATTTTTTCTGTACCACAAATGCACATGCTGTAGACAGACTTTAATCATATGTGATGTTCTGGCTAGTTCTAGTAAGTCATTTAGTCATGTTTTAGATGAGTTTATGAGGGTATATAATGGCAACAAATACAGAATAATGATCTACTTACAATGAAGTAAATGTATGTAATACAGGTTATGGAATGCCTTGAGTAATTTCACCACTTGAAGGTCTGCATTGAACAATCTAAAATGATTGACTGAATCCATAAAGTTGATTAAAGACTGAAACAGTTATCATCATAGCTGCTTGCTTCTGAGGTTTCCATCTATAGCA